TCTCCTTTCAGGATTTGGACAGGCACACACAAACCACTGGTGTATTTTTCAAGATCCTTGAACCGCACAATGATCCATGTGAGATTCAGCCACATTAGGCACCATGCCACTGGCTGGCCCATGCCTTTTTATGTTTTTAGAAATGGTCATAATTCAAGCCCACTAAGTATCTTTCCATTTTCTGGTTTTCTACTATTACATGCCTATTTCTGTAATAAAATTTTTTCTATCACAAATTTGATGCAGGAACAGGAAGGAGGCTGCATTAAGTTCCCTGGGTGCCAGTTTAATAAAATTTCTAGGTTGTAATCATTGAATTCTTTATGAACACCTTGCTTATTCCTTTTGCAATGAGAGATGACACACTTGAAACTTAAGGCAAAGAAAAGGTAAAAAATGTGTACTGAATTGTCAAATAATTGAGGACAAATAGAAAACACCCTAAGGGCAATCAAAATAATGGGGATATTATTTAAAAAGTGGATATTAAAAGGGAAGAGTCTATTTGGAAATAAGAGATGTAAAAGAGGGAAACTTTGAAGAGAAAGAGGTATTTTTCCCGTTCTTACTTTAGTAGTCCTAAAGTAGAAATGAGAGAATTCCAGGAGGAAAGGAAGAGTAGGAAGAATGTTCTGATAATACTAAGCACAGGGAATGGAGAGTAGAGAAAGAACTTGGACAAAAATAAATTGGCCAGAAATAAGAAGGAATAAACAAAAAATGGTGTAGAGATTAGCCTGATTTAGTACCCTGCAAAGGCAACAATTTTACATGTAAGAAGGAAGAAGTTGGACAGAAGTTGGACAGGAGTTTGTTTGGAAGAGACATACTCAGCCCTGAATGTCCAGGTGAAATATTTGGTGTTTGGCTTCAGCCTCTGCAGCTTTTCTCAGAGATTTAATTTTCTCTTATGAGCCATGGAACTATTTAAATGTAATAAAATTAATCAAATTAAATCCTTTTTACTAAATAATTCACTCTGACTGTAATATGAAAGTGTAATAATGCATGAGGAAAAATCAATGAGGACAGCTATTGCAGAGGAAAAATGGACAGAATGGGACACTCTTTGTTGGAATTTAAAACATTTTTCTTCTTCACAATTAATTGTTGTACATCTCCATAACACATAATGTAATTTTGCAAAAACATGGATCACATTGCCATCAGATCAAGGATATCAACCTTTACATATTTTCCATATAACTTTCTTGATGAAAAGTCAACAAGGCTTGTCATTGATGAGAGCATGAGAGATTGCTCAGGGACAGATTGCAGAACCAGCCAGTTGTAGGCAACAGAGCAGGGTGCCGACAGTGGGGAGAGAAAACTGTAAATCAGAGACTAGTTGGAAACCAGTGGTCATCACAGAGTTAACTCTGGTTTTTTTTTAACTTTTTAAATTATTATTTATTTATTTTTTTATTATCATCATAATCTTGTTTATATTACATTGGATTGCATATACCTTTACAGTGTATTACATTGCTTTTTCAAAAGGGAATGCCATGCATGTCAGTCAATACAGAGACATTAATCTCCCCGCTTCATCATTCAATATCTTTTCTATGGTTTTTCCCGATCATTATTAATATTGTTCCAATTATTTTTTAAAACAATCACTATTTCTCACTTTGCATGTAAAAAGGCTTTACCCATCATGAAATACTTCTCATAACTCTTGATGACATTCAGACTGCACATTCAAACCTTCATTCTTACCAGAAATTTAAACATGGATTTAATTTTACGAGTTGAATACATTTGGGCATGCAGATTAAACAAAATCCGGTTGTTCAACTATAATGGGGATACTTACTCCCATTATCTAAAATTTATAGTTGAGCAAACTACAATTTAATAATAATTTAAAATGATAATAATTTAGCTTACCAAATTATTTTGAGGGTTAAATTAGATAACAGATATGAAGCATGAAGCGTGGTGCTTGGCATAGAGTAACCTCAGAATGAAAGTCTGTTAGCATCACCATGATAAACCACGTCCATCAGGAGGACAACAGGGGTATGTGAAGGGATATTCTAAAATTAGGATTAGCACGGCGATTAGATTGGTCTGTCTGGTAGAATGTCAGTGTCTTCATCATCATCTACATAGTCATATAAACCACCAGCTGGCAGTCATCCTTTTGAGTCGTGTGATGTGAAAGTCTCAGCTTTATCTAGAAGTCATCCAAACTCCTGTTAACATCATAATTCTTTATCTATAGAACTTAAAGGTATTTATTCTATAGCCTTTGCTAGAAATAAAATTATGTATATTTCTAAATACTGGTGGGATTTAAAATTCAATACCATATGGCATCCACCTCCTTTTCCCCTGGTAAACCTAATGGAGTGTCTTATCTCTATTATTACAAAATATCTGTAAGATAAAGGCATATTGAACAAAGTGAAAGCTGCTATCTTATATTCGCAATTTAGTATTCCTTAACCAAAAATGTCAAAGTAATTTAGAACCAATGTTTAATTTTGAGATAACTTATTCTATTATATTCCCAATAATTATCAATGGATGTGCATCAGCACTTACATAAAAAGAAACATATTGATCACTTGAGTATGGATGAACCCTTAAAGATTAAGTGTGTTTGTGTTAATTGAACTGTTTGATATTTCACTTGAGATGAGATAATGATCCCTGATGCTTTTCAATTCATCTTTGCAACCAAAATCTTCAGAGATTTATCCCCAAAGGCACAGAATAATAAAGAATATAACATGGCTATTATATATAACCATTAGAACTTTCAAGAAGTTGGTACTGTAAGATAAATGAATTCTTAGGTCAGCAATTAAGATTTTGTTTTTAGTGAGTAAATCTCATTTATTGATTTCCATTTTCATTTGTAAACCATTTATTCCTTAAAGTTTTATCTGCGTTTGCCAGCTATAGTTTATACTTTATATTTATAGTTCATAGAGAAAAAGGGCAGATATAAACAGTCAATTAGAAGGAACTTTAACTGAACTAAGTTTCCACAGAAAATGCATTTTAATAAATAGGCATAACTACATTTATCAAATTTCCTCATTTATCTAATCGTGAAGACAGAAACTCACATCATGTTAACACTTTCTAACTTAGCACTGGATTGTAATGCTAATAATTTCACTGTCTTTCAAATACTTTGGGGAATTATGTTAGTAAATATCCTGTGGATGAGCTTACTTTGGATTTTTACTTTTTGTCCCAGTGCTCACAGCCAACTGGATACTATGCACAAAGACGAGGCTATAAAGCCAAAAACTTGGGAGATAAGGGTCAGCCTGGACACTACCTGGGTGATCTGGGTGAGATTCTTAACTTTTTAGGATGAAATTACCAGCTGTAAACTATGTCGAAAGTAATGCTACTTCAATCCATAGTACTCTAATTTAAAACCATATTTTTGTTAGGAAGTGATTTGATGTGTTTGATTAAAATGCTTTAATTTAAAATTTTCCAAATATTAATCACAATTGTTTACATAGTGATTAGACTATTTGAAGCTACTTAAGGTAACAATATTAAAATGAAACTTTTAAAATTCTTAATAAACTTACATTAGGTGAACTCATTCTTAATCTTAACTGGGAATTCTTATTTCTTCCCTGTCCTATCAACTAAATTGTATTTCTCCTCTTTATACATGTTCCACTTTAAAAGTAAACATAGTAAATGTGTTACTAGAGGTGTCTAATTAGACACCTCTTTAACAAATTAGTTGCCAGGAAACTGTGTATTTCACTTCACTGTAACTACTGTTTAATTTCATTACAGCAAAGTTACCCAGGGAATGGACTGAGTTCGAACTGACTGAAGTTCACATCCTGATTCCATTGCTTCATACGTAACCTTAGGTAAGTTATTTCACCTTTCACTTCAGTTCATCCTTAAAATGGAAACAATAACAGTGCTTAATGCTATTCCAAAGATTGAGACCAGCACATGGCATAATGGCTATGTTGCTGGACTTTCATGTAGTCGACCGCGGTTTAAGTCCTGGACTTGGTGGCTTAAACTCAAGCCGGGTGCATGTGCATGCATGCCCAAGATCCCAAGAGAAGAATGGAGGAGAAGAGATTGTGGCATGGCCATCCCCACCCCCTCCCCCAGGGGGTGATTTCTTGCTTTCTGTCTCTTTGTCTTTCTGGTGAGCACACATGCCTTATCGCAAAAAACTAACAAAAAAAAGGAAAAAAAATTATTCCAAAGATAGTGAAGTAAGACTTCTGTGGGACATAGAAATGGTTAATTATCTGTTGATGGCAACGTGTATAGTAGTCTCAACTAGACTGGTCTGAGGTGTATTTCATGTTGAGTAAACTTTCTCTACAAGTTAAATGATGTATAGTGGTTTAATGTATAAAAACTTAATAATAATAAATATTATTTCAAAAAACCTGAATATATTAATATATAATTCAATTAATCTTGTGCCTGTAATTTAATAAGCATTCAGGAAATTTCTTCGTTATCTAATACTACACATATATATTTGAATTGGTTTTGTTATTCTCACATTCCCTTTTGCTATTCTAATAAGTATCATAGGTATATTTTATCTTTAGCTTTTAAACCACAATGGTACATTTTATTTATGTATAAAATACGTGTACATAGAACACAAGAAACACACATATACACACAAGGGAAGGCATATTAAGGAAAAACTATGCATGGATTTCAAAATTGGGGAAAAGCAAAAGAAGCTCTTACTTTATTTCCATTTTTCTAAATGTTTTTAAGTCTCTGGTATACATATATGACAATATAGTTACAACGGTTTTTCTTATGTTTTTAGCATATAGAAAGATTTATTAGACATAAACATATAAAGTTTAGTAAATACATTCTTAGTCAAATATATTTATTTGAGTGATTTCTTTGTAATAAGCTCTATGCATGTATTGATGAGAATGAAAATGTGAAATATATAACTTTCTTAATATACAGTTTTCATCACAGGTTTATTTTGGTAGCAGCTACACAGTCTCATGGATTCCCCGGTGGATGGGAACCACACTGTAGTGACAGGGTTCATTTTATTGGGTTTAACAGATGATCCAGTCCTTCGGGTCATCCTCTTCGTGATCATCCTGTGCATCTACCTGGTGACCGTATTTGGCAATCTCAGCACAATCGTCCTGATCAGAATCTCCCCTCAGCTCCATCATCCCATGTACTTTTTTCTGAGTCACTTGGCTTTGGCTGACATCGGCTACTCATCTTCTGTCACACCTAATATGCTTGTAAACTTCTTGGTGGAAAGAAATACAATCTCCTACTTTGGATGTGGGCTCCAGCTTGGTTCAGTGGTTTTTTTTGGATCAACAGAATGCTTCATTCTGGCTGCCATGGCATATGATCGCTTTGTGGCCATCTGCAGCCCACTGCTTTATTCAATCAAAATGTCCACACAGCTCTGTGTCCAGTTACTCCTGGTGGCTTACACAGCTGGTTTCCTCAATGCTTTCTCCTATGTTATTTGCTTCTATTCTTTATTCTTCTGCGGGCTAAATGAAGTCAACCATTTCTTCTGTGATTTTGCCCCTTTAGTTGAGATCTCCTGTTCTGATACAAGTATCCCTGCAGCTGTTGCCTCATTTTCTGCTGGCTTCATCGTTGTGGTCTCAGCCATTGTCATAGCTGTCTCCTACATCTACATCCTCATCACCATCCTGAAGATGCACTCCATTGAGGGGCGCCACAAGGCCTTCTCCACCTGCACTTCCCACCTCACTGCTGTCACTCTGTTCTATGGGACCGTTACGTTCATTTATGTGATGCCAAAATCCAACTACTCAACTGACCAGAACAAGGTGGTGTCTGTGTTCTACATGGTGGTCATACCCATGCTGAACCCCCTCATCTACAGTCTCAGGAACAATGAAATTAAGGGGGCTCTGAAGAGAGAGCTTCACAGAAAAATATTTTCTTAGTGATGTCTGTTATCCAGTGTCTAACATAGTTATCGCTTTCTACTTAAATACCTATTATGCCGTTCTACAACATATTGCAAATGTTTACTCAAATTTTGCTATCAGAAGAGAAAACAAGCTGTAATTAATCCATATGTGCAAATATTAGGTCGGGAAAGTCAAGACATTTTTCTGTTTTTTTTTTTCATATGTAAAAATACATCATGACTTTCCTGATTTCCCAATATTAAAAATTATTCTGTCATGTAGCCAGCAGGTGGCATGTGGTTACGTTGCTAGATTCTCACATGGCTGACCAGGAGTTCTAGTTTTGGTGACTTGAAAATCCTGCTGGGTGTTGTATGTATGTGTTTGTGTGCTGAATATCCCAGAAGGAGAATGGATTACATCCCCACTGAGGGGTGATTTTTTTACTTTCACTCTTGTTTCTCTGTCTCTCTCTGTATCTCTCTCTCTCCAGCGAGTACATGCACCCTGTGGCAAAAACCTCTAAAAAAAAAAAAAAGAAAAAGAAAAAGAAAAGAAAAGAAAAGAAAAAGAAAAAGAAACGATTCAGTTGAATGAGAGGCTTTATGAGAAAATATAGAAGGTATAGGAAGAAACTGATTAAACCTCATCTCTGTATCCAGGAATTCTTATGGAAGGTCATTTGTTAGAGTGGTTTTCAGACTTTGAGGGGCAATGATTTTGAATAAATTTCTTAAAACTCTTCAAGACTTGTGTTTCTTCATTTTAAAAATGAATATCATATTCATGTCAATATTATAAGGTTGTGAAGATTAGGCAATGTGATGATAAGCTTTATATGTGTGTATATAATTGGACCACAAATGTTTATGGAAAAATGAAATTAAGCATTCTCAATGAACTTTCTGGATACCTCATACATTAAAAATAATATCTAAAATAATGCTTATATATGCAAAAATGTGAAATTATTTTTTTCTTTGTACTATTGTTACCGAACTCAAATCAGGTCCGCTCGCCCAAGCGCTATAAAACCACCATAGGCACACGGTGTGATGAAGGAAAGTACAGCTTTACTGCAAAGTGCAAAGCAAGGAGAGCGAGTAGCTCATGCTGAAAAGACCCGGTCTCCCTGAGATGTTCCCCACGTGCCTTTTTAAGGACAAAAATTAAGGGTGGAGGTCCTAGACGCATGATCAGTTCAGTGATTGGTTTAAGAGGGCGTGATCATTTCATGGGCATTCTTGATTGGTGAGGCCTTAGATAATCAAATTCCTCTTTAGGTGTCTGAAACCGTTCAGCCTGGAGTCTTTGAGCTCACAACCAGTAGTTTCCAGCCTACAAAACATCTTACATATTGAAATGAAAAACCTTTCCTTTAAGTGAGAGTTTTAGAGGTCAAATGGCCCTCACTCAGGGTCCATGTTGGTCATTATCATAACCGAAGTCTGAAGACTTACTCTTTACTCTGGGCCATTACAATGTAAATGGACTTTATATTTTATAAACCCTAGAAAACACATTAGGGGGTTCTTGCTCGGTTTCACTATCAATACCAAGTTTAAAAGGAAATTTAAAAATCTTGTCTATATATCTAAAGTTCTATGAAGTATTTAAAAATAAATTAACAGAAAATACAAAACCTAGACAAGAACAAAGCATATATAAATATTCAAACCACGTTAGATCTATAGATTTAATATGTAGATGTCAATAATGTTGACTTAAATTTTAAACCTAATATTAATCCATTTAGAATCTACATTATTGTTTTTGTTGTTGAGGCATTATGTAAGTCAAATGCAAATACTATTTTTCTTATTTTTTTGGAGAGGTTTTTGCTATAGGGCACGTGCGCTCGCCAGAAAGACAGAGAGAGACAGAAAGCAAGAAATCACCCCCCAGGGGGGATGGCCACAGGGCAATCCCTTTCTCCTCCATTCTCCTTGGGATCTTGGGCATGCATGCATGCCCTGTGGGAGTTTAAGCCACTAACTGCTGGTCCCATCAAATGCAAATTTAATGTGAAAGACTAAAAGCGAAAGCATTGCCAAAAAAAATCTTACCAAAGATTCATTGTGAACTGGCAACCTGTGTCGTATTAAAACATACCCCAAACTACCTAAAAATAAAACTAATATAGTTGAAGTGAAGGACATATTAATTGCCCTAATTTGGTCACTAAAAATAGTGTATATCAGAACCAGCAGTTGGTGTAATGGCTATGTCTCTGGACTCCCATGTAGTCAACTGAGGTTTGAGTCCCGGACCCAGTGGCTTAAACTCACGTTGGACACGTGTGCGTGCGTGCCCAAGATCATGAGAAGAGAATGGAGGAAAAAGATTGCAACGTGGCCATCTCCCCGGTAGGTGATTTCTGGCTTGCTTTCTCTCTGTCTCTCTATGTCTTTCTGGTGAGCGCACACACCTTACAGCAAAAACCTATAAAAAAATAGTGTATATGTATTGAAGAATTACATTATATCCCATAAATATGCACAATTTTTAAGAATCAATGAAAAATTTAAAAAACAGTATAATAACTTCACCTATGGTTAGTATGATAAGAGAAAACAAAATGCCATCCCCACTCAGAAAGAAAGACTAAATAAAATTAAAAGCATTATTTTAAATAGGGTTACCATCATTTTTGTAAAAAGTTTTGAGAAAAGATAACAAAAACGTTTCCAAATCTTTTGTTGTTACAGTTTTTTCTTTTTCTTCCACTTGCCATAGGGTGCATGCACTCACCAGAGAGAAACAGAGAAAGAAAGGGAAAGTAAGAACGTAACCTCCATGGAGAACGACCATGCTGCAATTCTTTCTCCTCCATTTTCCTCTTAAGATTTTGGGCATGCACACAAACATGCCTGGTGTGTTTTCTAAGACACTGGGTATGGGACTCCAGCACCACAGTCAGCCATGTATGATCTGGCTGCCTTAACCACCACACCACTGGCTGTCCCATCCAAATCATTTTTATATATTTTTACACCAACCTGTAAATTTTATTTCAAAGATGGAAAATGACAGGTAAAATACTTTTGGGAAAATGTCTTCTTTCTAGTGAAACTTACTAAACAAAATATTAGTAAATTAAAGCAAATAAAATTAATGGAAAAGCACCAATGATGGATTAATTTCAAGAATTCTAGATCTTAAAATTGAGAGACCAGCAGGTGGCATGATGGCTAAGGATGCTGGACTCCCAGATAGTCGACTGTGGTTTGAGTCCTGGACCTGGTGGCTTGCTTTCTCTCTCTCTCTCTCTCTCTCTCTCACACACACACACACACACACACACACACATACACACACACACTCTGTCCCTCTCTGATCAAATAAAAATAAATATATAAAGTTAAATAAAATAATTCTTAAAAAATATTCTAGATCAATCTAACATTTATTAATTAATTGAAGTTGACTCTCTTGCATCTCTGAATTAGGATTTAGAAGGATGTGAAAAAATCTTTCATTATATGGCAACAAGAAAAACTTAGACAAAATGAATTATCATATTTATACATGAAATGATCTATGAGTAGAAGACTCAAGAAAGCCTTAATGAACTGATACATGGGTGAGCAGACAGCTGCGGCACGTTGTGTACCTGAGGAGAGGTGCCTGGTCTGACCACCCTACACTGAAAGACTTGAAGAAGTGAGATGGAATCAGCCAGTGCTTGAATGACAGTGTGAACTGTGTGGACAGTTCAAAGTTTAGAAGAAACCCACATGGAAAAAGAAATAATATCACCCAACTTCAATTTCTCCAAGGATATCCTTAGAAGTTGTGGAGGGAGGAGGAAGAACTAGTAAAAATTCTGTAGTCCCACACAGTCTCACTGAAAATGGGTTTGTGGGTCTTGCCTATGTTGAACTAGCAGATGAAAAGAAATAATCAAAGGGGCCAGGTGATGGCACAGGGGTAATACAACTGGATCCAAATGACAAAAGTCCTGTGATCATGCCCTGGGACCTCCCTGTCCCACAGGGTCCACATGCATGATTGGGATTCCAGCTGGCTAAAACGAGAGGTTGATCATGTCATGAAGACCCTGTTGGGGTGCCTCTGTGTGTGTGTGTGTGTGTGTCTCTCTCTCTCTTTTTCTTTCCATCTCTGTCTTTCATGAAAAAAATAAACTTTTTAAAAAAATGCCGAATTTCCAAAATGTAAAGATTCTAGACGATAGCATAAGAAAATGTCTTCATGATCTTTTATTTGGCAAAGATTTCTTCTTTTATTTGTAAATTAAATATTAACATTATGGAGCCAACAGGGGCATGGTGGTTAAGGGCGCTGGACTTCCACTTGACTGACCATGGTCTGAGTCTGGGACCTGGTGGCTTACTTTCTTGCTTTCCCTTTTTCTTTCTCTCTCTCTCTCTCCATCTCTGGTCAAATCTTAAAAAGAAAGAAACAAATAATAGATCTCATTAAAATTAAAAACTTTAGTTTATCAAAAAAATCCAACTGAGAGATGGGTCAGCAGGTGGTATGGTGGTTAAGGCACTGGACTCCCATATGGCTGATGGTGGTTCAAATCCCAGAGCCGGCAGCATGAACATCATGCCAGGTGTATTTGCATGAATGCCCAATATCCTGAGAAAAGAATGGAGGCGAAGGGATTGCGGTGTGGCCATCCTCCCTGGGGAGTGATTTCTCGCTTTCTGTCTCTCTGTCTCTCTCTCTCTGTCTTCCTGGCAAGAGCATGTGCCCTATAGCAAAAACCTCTCAAAAGAAAAAAAAAAAAAAGAAAAAAAAAGAAAGAAAAAACGAAAGAAAGAAAGAAAAGTGCAATATGACAATAAAATTGGCAAAAGACTTATAAAGACATTATAGAAAACAGGATATACAAGTGGCTTATACATATATATTTTATAAATGTTCAATATAAGCAGCTGAATTTTAAAAATTATTTCAGTATAAAAACTGATGTCTACCCCTGAATTCTATAATGTTATTTTTTTAAAAAAATGCATGAATACTTTCATTTACCAGAGTGCTGAGTGGCCAGGATTTTGTTAAGCTAGATACTCTTTTAGGTTGTCTTCATATTTACAATTGTTCTTGGTTATGCTTCCATTGACCTGAATTGCCATGAACATCTAATTGTGAGGCATTAGAATCTATTCTTGCTCTGGGATTCAAATGATATACATCTCTTTTATAATAATTGGAAGACTATATTTTAATTTTTAAAAGTAATTAATCAGAAATCATTACAGAGGAACTTCTGGAGTCAGGGAGGTAATTTAGAAGTCTGAAAATTTTCCAAACTCAATAATAAAAACCTTAAAGCAGTGTCAAAGGTAGTGGAAATGAACACCTTCATGAGAGATTGCAAAGAAGGATGGTGGTTGTATTCCATGCCTGCATCAGCTGAGGTGTCCCAGTCAGTAATTCTATGCGCTGGAAATACCACTTGGCTTGCTGAAAGAAAGCTCTTCTGAGTCCAACTCCCTCCCTCCTTCCCTCCACTCCTCAAGGTGTTTTCTACATATCAAAGATTTGTCTAGAAAGCCTTTAGAGTGCCTTTTGTGTGGTCCAAATTGAGTCTTCTGGTGGCAAAACTTTAGAACAAATTCTTTTTGGTCTGGTAAACAGGAATAAAAGTTTTCTGAAAACCCAGGATCCCTAGTCCCCAAAATGATCATAATTCTGTATAAGAGAATCTAAGTCTTCCAGAGAAAGTGAACTGGACTATGCATACTGCCATCAATTGTATTTCTGCTATGTACCTGATGCTTTTCCAAGATGTTAATTTATCAGATGACATTTTAGAAATATATTACATAAATGAACAAAGAAAATACTCTCTAACATAGATTTCTCACATAAAGGAAACAGTAGAGAAAACATAAAACTACATTCTTCGTGTACCCTAACCCTGAAGTATACACATTTAGTTTGAACACAGAAGACTTTCATGACAATGATATGTTATATTTTGTGACCCTAGAAGTTATAAAATGGGTGTTAATCAACATATTGGCATTGTATATTTAAAACAGCTCTTCACATTGGCTTTTTTTTTTTTTTTTTTTTTTTTTTGAGAGATTTTCACTGTAGGGCGCGTGCGCTCGCCAGACAGACAGAGAGAGACATAGAGACAGAAAGCGAGAAATCACCCCCCAGCGGGGATGGTCACGCCACAATCCCTTCTCCTCCATTCTCCTCTCGGGATCTTGGGCACACACGCACACGCGCCC